GACTGGGCAACCCAGGGTTCCAGCATGGAAAACCAAAGCCTCAAAACCTCTGACCATAAAAACCTGTGGGAGTTGCCGTGGTGGGAGAAACTCCCAGTCTCACAGGAGAGTTCATTAGATGGGCCCACAGGATCCTAGAATGTACACAACCCCACCTACCCAGCAATCAGCACCTGAAAGGGCACAATCCACTTGTGGGAAGCAAGGAAAGTGACTGAAAACAGTGTGAGAGCCAAACAAGCAGCATTGTCCCTTCTCTGACCCCTCCCCCACATACAGCACCACAACGCAGCAAAGTGGGTTGTCCCACAATGGCAAATGCCTAAGGCTCCTCCCCTTACAGTGTGACAGGTGCTCTGAAACAAAGGAATATGGCCCAAATGAAAAAACACATCAAAACTCCAGAAAAAGAACTAAGCAATGAGGAGATAGCCAACCTACCAGATGCAGAGATCAAAATGTTGGTAATCAGGATGCTCACAGGAATGATTGAGTACAGTCACAAAATAAAGGAAGAAGTGAATGCTATGCAAAGTGAAATAAAGAAAAATATACAGGGAACCAACAGTGAAGGGAAAGAAACTGGAACTTAAATAAACAATTTGGAACAAAACAAAGAAATAAACATTCAACCAGAACAGAATGAAGAAATAAGAATTCAAAAATCGAGGAGAGGCTTAGGAACCTCTGGGACAACCTTAAACATCCCAACATCTGAATCATAGGGAAGCCAGAAGGAGAAGAGAAAGAGCAAGAAATTGAAAACTTATTTGAAAAAATAATGAAGGAAAACTTCCCATATCTAGTTCCCCAAGGGAACTAAATGTGCAAATTCGGGAAGCTCAGAGAGTCCCAAAGAAGTTGGATCCAAGGAGAAACACACCAAGATACATCACAATTACATTACCCAAGATTAAAGATAAGGAGAGAATATTAAAAGCAGCAAGAGAAAAGGAGACAGTTACCTACAAAGGAGTTAGGTAAGACTGTCAGCTGATTTCTCGAAAGAAACCTTACAGGCAAGATGGGGCCAGAAAGTATTCAAAGTCATGGAAAGCAAAGACCTACAACCTAGATTACTCTACCCAGCAAAGCTATCATTTAGCTGGGAAGAGCAGATAAAGTGCTTCCAAGATAAGGTAAAGTTAAAGAAGTTCATCATCACCAAGCCCTCATTATATGAAAGGTTAAAGGAACTTATTTAAAAAGAAGATCAAAACTGTGAACAGTAAAATGACAACAAACTCACAACTATCAACAACTGAAGCTAAAAGAAAAACAAAAACAAACTAAGCAAACAACTAGAACAGGAACAGAATCACAGAAATGGAGATCACATGGAGGGTTATTAGCAGGGAGGGGGAGGAGGAGAATGGGGGAAAGGTATGGGGAATAAGTATAATTGGTAGGCACAAAATAGACAGGGGGAGGTTAAGAATAGTATAGGAAATGGAGAAGCCATAGAACTTATATGCACAACCCATGGACATGAACTAAGGGGGGTGGGGAACACTGGAAGGAAGGGGCAGAGGGAGATAAAAGGGAGAAAAAATGGGAAAAAAACAGAAAAAATGGGACAACTGTAATAGCATAATCAATAAAATATACTTAAAAAACAAAATAAAATTTAGCAATGCAAAGTTTTACAATCCAATTTCTTGAACATATTAGGGTTTCCAAGTTAATTATCACCTCACATCATTACTCTCACTGAGCTGTGCCACCACATTGTTAGTCAATCTTTTTTTAATTATATTTTATTGATTATGTTATTACAATTGTCCAAATTTTTCTCCTTTAGGTAACTAACTGCTTTTCTCTTGCTGCTTTTAAGATTCTTTGTCTTTAACCTTTGGTATTTTAATTATGATGTGTCTTGGTGTGGGCTGCTTTGCATTCATCTTGTTTGGGACTCTCTGTGCTTGCTGAACTTGCATATCTATTTCCTTCACCAAATGAGGGACATTTTCATTCATTATTTTTTCAAATAGAGTTCCAATTTCTTGCTCTTTCTCTTCTCCTTCTGGCACCCCTGTGATGTGAATGTTGGATGTCTTGAAGGTGTCCCAAAGGCTATTTATGCTATCCTTGTTTTTTTTAATTCCTTTTTTTTCTTATTGTTCTGATTGGCTGTTTTTTGCTTCCTTATGTTCTAAATCATTTATTTGATTCTCAGCTGCATCCACTCTACTGTTGTTTCCTTGTATATTTTTCTTTATTTCAATTAGTATGTCCTTGATTTCTGATTGGATCTTTTTTTATGTTGTCAAGGTCATCACTAAGTTCTTGAGCATCCTTATAACCAATGTTTTGAACTCTGCATCTAGAAGATCGTTTGTCTCCATTCTGTTTCGTTCTTTCTTTCTCTGGAGGTTTGTTCTGTTCTTTCGTTTGGGCCATGTTTATTTGTCTCCTCATTTTGGCAGCCTCTCTGTGTTTGTTTCTGTATATTAGGTTGAGCTGCTACGACTTCTTGTCTTGGTACCATGACCTAATGTCATAGCCGTCCTGTAGGGTCCAATGGCATAGTCTCCCTTATCATCCAAGCTGGGTACTCAAGGTGTGCCCTATGTGTGGGCTAAGTACAAGCTCCTCTTATAGTTGAGCGCTCTTATAGTTGAGGGTTCAGAAAAAGGACAATGGCTTCTGCTCACCTGGATGCCAGAAACTTCAGTTTCTTGCTGCTACCTTGGTGCTGAAGCTCATAGGGAATGAGTCTGGGTAAGACTGTGTTTGGGTTCTTTAAAAGGAGCTGCTTGGGATTCCAGAAGTTTCTTCCACCAACTCACTCTCCACTGATTTTTGCAGCCAGAATTTGTGAGGACTTATCTTCCTGGCACTGGAGCCCTGGGCTGGGGTACCTGGTGTGGGGCTGGGACTCCTCACTCACGAGATATCCCTCCTGAATTTTTATCCACCACACATGGATATGGGACCAGCCTGTTCCTCATCTCCACCCCTTCTACCAGTCTGGATGGATGTGGTTTCTTTAATTCCATAGTTGTCAGACTTCCATTCCACTGGATTTCTGATGGTTCTGAGTGATGATTGTTCTGTGTTTTAGTTGTAATTTTGATGTGGTTGTGCAAGGAGGCAAGCCATGCCTGCCTACACTGCCATCTTGACTGGAAGTTGTTAGTTCATCTTTAAACTTCTACTGACTTTCTTGTGTTCTCTCCATCATGTCCCCTGAAAAGAAACAAGCTGAATTTGGATTTTTTTTAAAAAGTGGAAATTCCAGGGCTAGCCAAGACCCAAGGACCACCCCCAAGAAACCAGTTTGTGCTGATAAATCAAAGATGGCACCCTCTTCCCAAGAGATCTTGTGATGAATTTGTCCTCATTAGCATGCTAAAAGTCATGCTCAGGGATAGCAACTTAACATTAAAATGAGACACGCAATGTATGACTAGCCATGTTCCAAGCTTCAGCTCTGTGTGTGTTCCCTTGGAAATCCAAGAACCCTCCACCCTTCCTAGGGAATTCCTATCCCTGAGTCTGCCGACCTTCCCCCACCCCTCTGTTTAATATTTTCCTAATTCCCCAGGATGAGGGAAAAGGAATCATTAGAGCATGTGATTATCCTTCTTCATTCCTTGGCCAAAGAATAAAGTTTCTTACTTGCTTTACCAAATACTGTCTCCTCCTACTGATGTGAGCAACTCCAGGCAGAATGACCACAGACGGGGAGCAGGGAATAGAGGGAGAGAAACATTGCTGTGAGAAACATCGATTGGTTGCCTTTCATACACACCCCTACCAGAAGCTGAATCTCAGCCCAGACAGATGCCCTGATTGGGAATCCAACTGGTGACCTTTCACTTTGCAGGATGATGCACAACCAACTGAGCCACCGTGATCAGGGCAATTTTTTTTTTAATATTTGTCTATTGATTTTAGAGAAAGAGGGAGGGGGCAGCGAGAGAGAGATCAATTTTTGTTGTTCCACTTACTTATGCATTCATTGGTTAACCAGAGATCCAACCAGCAACCTTGGTAAATCGGAAGGATGCTTTAACCAACTGAGCTATTGAGCTAGGCTGTAGTCTTTAAATTCAGACAACTGTATTAGTCAGTTATTCCTCTATAGAGCTAGGGAGAGAAGTTTCCAGGTACATCCTACATTTAGATAGTGCTTTAATTTTTTTCTTATATTATTAAAAATAGAAATCAATTGTCTTACAGCTATTATAGCCATTGACATTTCAAAATTATCTGGGGACTAACGCAAAAACTGACCTAAATTAAATTCCCTTTCAGTGTAAAATATACACCTGAGAATGTAATAAGCACATCTCATACCCTGTCTTTAGACTGAGAAGAGTCTAGTGCTCAGACTAGGGATGCCACTTACAACTTCCCACCAGAGCCAAGTGCCCTGGGATTCTTTTTCTTTAGGACCAAATGAGAGAGGGTGGGAAAGGGAAGAGGGCGAGGCTCAAGAGTTTCAAGGATCAAAGACTGAAATAAGACCAGACTCCTGTTACAGCCGATAAGGCTGCATTTAAATGAGTTTCTAAGTAAAGCTCAGAGTTCCACGAGTGGCCTCACAACCTAAGCCAGACTCTTGACCCTAATGGACACAAGACAGTCTAGTTCCGTTGTGGCCTGGCTGGGACTGTCTTCAGGCTCTGTACTTGCTTGCGCCACTTGGAAATTCAATGAGGAATTCTCTGTGCAAGCCTATGCCCTCGCATTCATCACAAACAGCTCGGGGGAAACAATAGAGGATCCCCCAGGCCCAAAGAAACCCCAAAACCTTCTATTTAAATGCAATGAAACAGGCGAGGTTAGGTCCACTCTGTCCAGCGGAGGCTTGTTTCGCTGAGCCACGCGTCCTCCCGTCGGCTGTCACTCAGGCACAAGGGGGCGCGGCCTTGTGAACTGTCCAGTCAGAAGTGCCGCTGGGGCAGGTGGGTGGGCAACGCAACGAGAAGTCGTGGACGTCCCAAGTTTTTCCAGCGGCGCTGGGGATTGGGTGTCGCCTGTCCTTCAGGGTCCCTGGTACCTCTGCTGCAAGGTCTGTCGCACTGTAGTCGGTCTGTAATAGGCACTGCTTGTGGGAGTCGTAGGCAGGACTCAGAGGGACCCAGGACACCTAGACATGGTGAGTGCTGCTGGGGTACAGAAATGGGGACGAGAAGCTGGTTAGAACCGGTTGGAATCGGCTGTGGCGGGCTCTCCGCGGTCCCCTCTGAAGTCTGTGGACCAGAGTTCACGTTGGTCCCCTCCAGCTTGCAGTGTAGGAGCTGATCGGATAGCCGGACCCAGACGTCCTGTCCTGTCACTGCGCTTGGCGACTTCGGCCCCGCCCCGGAGTCCCTCTGGGCAGCTCCGCGCCGGCAGCCGCGCGTCTCCCCAGAATGTGCGGCGACCTCGGGGAGTGTCATCAGGGGACAATCGTGACTCCGTCTCCCGAGTTCTTGCGCGGTAGTCCTCTGGTCTGTGTGGTCCCAGTCCCTCCGTTCTCCTCAGGGGTCCCATTTTTTTTCTGAGTTTTCCAACTCTTTCTGTGCCCAGCCCATCTCTTCCTGGGACTGGCAGCAGCTAGTCCCTGAATTTCCAGATCGCTCCTCGAATTCCCAAGCCAACTTCCTCTCTGCGATTCACAATACCAATATGAACTATTTGTCCTCCGTGATGCATTTCAAACAGACCCAGTATTTTAATTGTTTATTTTTTTTTTTCCGCAGAGTTATAGATGGCTCCTTAGAGATTTATATTTGGTATGGATAGTTTATATGAGGGAAAAGACAGGAATAACCACCTGGACCCCTGTTGCTTGCAATCTTTGCACCTCTCCCCCAGGATCTTTCCTGGGCACAGAATCCTAGGGGAAGTACTTTAGGTGAAGTTCCTGTTTGGAAAATTTCTGAGTGTTTCCCTGAGCATTTCTCCTCCCTGGGTTTGTCACCTTGAAAAGATTTATTGCCTTATATGTGTCTGTTTATCATTAGGAATAAAATATATTTAATCAATAAAGCTGGAAATACTAAAAAAAAAAATAGTTCCAAACAGGCAAGAAACAGAGGTCTGAAGCAGGAGTACCTACACCTTAAGTTTGCGATTATGTTCAACTTTATGAATATGTTGGGTTCCTCCCCCACCTCAACTGTAGGGAAACAGACTGCTTATCAGTTTTGATTCCAATATTTGTGTTTCATTCTTTTGGATTCTATTATCCATGGAGTATGTGGCCCTTTGATTCTAGTTTCCATTAGCACCTGGGCTTTTAAAATATAACTTGGTTGAGAGATAGTATGTGAATAAGGTAAGATAACTGTGGAAATAAACAATTTTGGTTTCATTTAGGCAAGAGAAGCTGCAAATATCAGACGGGTGTGTTTAAGTTCTCAGGCGCTTTTTCCATTTTTTTACGGGGGGTGTGTGTGTATGTGTGTGTGTGTGTGTGTGTGTGTGTGTGTGTGTGTGTCCTTAGGTCCCTAGGGCACTTTGACATTGAAAAGGACAAACTGTTCCTTCCCTGACCAGTGTGGCTCATGGGCACCCTACTGCAAAGCGAAGGGTTTCCAGCTCAAATGCCCGGCAGGGCAGGTGCTTGGGTTGCAGTTCTGATACTAATCAATGTTTTTCTCCCTCTCTTTCCCCTCTCTAAAATAAATAAATAAAATCTTTTAAAAAGAAAGAAAAACAAAAGGACTAACTATTCCTACGGAAAATGAACTCCTATTTTAATGGATGTGAGGGAAAATTTTTGAAGTTTTATTTTTATTGATAAGGGAAAACCACCTCAAAACTTATGTATATTATATTTGAAATTTCTAGTATATTTCAGGGCTTACCTGCAGACCCCTAATGCATTATAATATGTTACTCATGCCTGAAATTATCCCCAATGTGAAATATAATAGAGAGAAAACTATCATAATGCTTTTTTGTCCTTTTAGTTAGAATGGGATTTGTAAATTTTTTTATGGTCTGCACATTTATGTCATTCAATGTTTAAAGGATTAAGTCTTGGAGTGGTTTCCTATGTAGAAAAGGTAAAATTTAGTTAATTTTATTTTTTTAATGTCTTTGCTTTTTTTTTTTTTTTTTTTTTAGGTTTAGGGACGTAAATTAGGTGGGCCATAACCTCAGGGGATCTCCAGGATATGGCAAACAGCTTATTGGTTATGCTATTAGAGTTGTCCCAGTTTTTCCCCTTTTGCTCCCTTCCGCCCAGCACCCCCCCCCACTCCCTCAGGCAATCCCACACCATTGTTCATGCCCATGAATCATGCCCATAAATTATTTGGCTACTCCATTTCCTATACTCTGCCTACATCCACTTGACTGTTCTATAACTACCTATTTCTACTTCTTAATCCCCTCCCATCTGGCAACCACCAAAAACTCTCCATATCCATGATTCTTTCTCTGTTCTTGTTTGCTTAGTTTGTTTTTTAGATTCAATTGTTGCTAGATGTTTATTGCCATTTTATTGTTCATATTTTTTATCTTCTTTTTCTTAAATAAGTCCCTTTAACCTTTCATATAATAATGGTTTGGTGATGATGAACTCCTTTAGTTTCTTCATGTCTGAGAAGCTCTTTATCTGCCCTTTGATTCTAAATGACAGCTTTGCTGGGTAGAGCAATCTTGGCTGTAGTTCCCTGCTTTCCATGACTTTGAATATGTCTTGCCAGTCCCCTTCTAGCCTGCTAAATTTCTTTTGAGAAATCAGCTGACAGTCTTACGGGAACTCCCTTGTAGCTAACTAACTGTTTTTCTCTACTGCTTTTAATATTCTCTCTTTATCTTTAACCTTTGGCATCTTAATTATGATGTGGACCACTTGGTGTGGGCTGCTTTGCATCCATCTTGTTTGGGACTCTCTGTGCTTTCTGGACTTCTATGTCTATTTCCTTCACCAAATTAGGGAAGTTTTCTTTCATTGTTTTTTCAAATAAATTTCTAATTTCTTGCTCTTTATCCTCTTCTTCTGGAACCCCTATGATGTGAATGTTGGAACACTGGAAGCTGTCCCAGAGGCTGCTACACTGTCGTCGTTTGGAGGAGTTCTATTTTCTTCTTCTTGTTCTGATTGATTTATTTTTTGCTTCCTTATGTTTCAGGTCATTGACTTGATTCTCTGCTTCATCCATTCTACTATTGTTTCCCTGTAAATTGTTCTTCATTTCTATTAGCATGCCTTTCATTTCTGACTGGATCCTTTTTATGCTGTTAAGGTCCTCACTAAGTTGCTTGAGCATCCTTATAACCAGTGCTTTGAACTCTGCATATGATATATTGTTTATCACCATTTTGTTTAGTTCTTTTTCTGGAGTTTTGATCTATTCTTTCATTTGGGCCTTGTTTGTCTCCTCATTTTGACAGCCTCTCTGTGTTTGTTTCTGTGTATTAGGTAGAGCTGCTTTGACTCCGTGTCTTGGTAGCATGGCCTATTGTAGTAGCCGTCCTGTAGGGTCCAATGGCATAGCCTTCCCTATCACCCAAGCTGAGTAGTCAAGGTGTGCCCTATGTGTGGGCTAAATACACCCTCCTCTTGTAGTTGAGCCTTGGCTGCTGTTAGCAGGTCAATGGGAGGGATTTACCAAGGTCAGTCAGCTGCAGGGGCTGCTTGTGATCACTGAGCACCAACCTCCACCCTCCATGGAGGATCAGCTGTGCAGGGGCAGGGTGGTGATGCTCCAGCATGGTCTGTAGCTGCCCACTGGGTACGCAGACTCTTGGTTTTCCAGGGTGGTGCAGGCCAAGGTCAGCCCCCATCTTTGTTTTGCCTGGGCCATCCTCCCTGAGTAATAAAGCAATCTGAGATGGCTGCTACTTGTGCTAGGCTTAGAGATTCCCAGGCAAAGGCAAGCTGTGAATCTAAACTGGCTGCTGGTAACCCCGGGCCTAGGGCCACTTAGCAAGAAGTACAGGGGCTGAGGGTTTACTGGGGCCCGCTGTTGCTTATTTGAGAGGATTTAGGAAGTTGTGAATCATGAGCCAAGACCAGCTATTCAAATGGAAAAGTCAAGGTTAACAGTTTGGGTAGGGCCATAAATTGGGTGGGACATAGCCTCAGGGGATCTCCAGGGTATGGCAAACAGTACTAGTCAGGTTGATGGAGTCTCAGGTACGGCATCTGCCTGCTAGCTTTCTGGCTCTGTTGGGGGAGGGCTCAGAAAAAGGACAATGGCCTCTGCCTGCCTTTCTGTCTGGGAGCTCCTGCCTTGATGCTGGACACTTCAGTTCCTCCCCGTATGCCGTTGGTGCCTTTCAGCTCCTACCCCGGTGATGGAGCTCAGACGGAGTGAGGCTGAGTAAGTCTGTGTGTGGGTTCTTTAAGGTGAACTGCTTGGGACTCCAGCTGTTTCTTTCACCGATTCAATCCCCAGTGGTTTTTGCAGCCAGAAGTTGTGGGGACTTATCTTCCTGGCACTGGGGAACCCTGGGCTGGGAGGCCTTTTGTGAGGCAGGGACTCCCCACTCCTGAGATCTCCCTTCTGAATTTTTATTTGCCACACGTGGATATGGCACCAGCCTTTTCCGCATCTCCGCCCCTCCTACCTGTCTAGATGGGCATGGTTTCTTTAATCCCATAGTTGTCAGACTTCCATTCCACTGGATTTCTGACAGTTCTGAGTGATGGTGGTTCTATATTATAGAATCGTAATTTCTATAATTTTGGTCGTAATTTTGATGTGATTGTGTGAGGAGGTGAGCCGTGTTTACCTATGCTGCTATCTTGACCAGAAGTCCAAAATTTAATTTAATTTAAAAGCAACAATTAAAGTAATTAGTAATCATAGAAAAATGTAGTATATATAAATTTGTCTCCTTATTTTAAATAAATAATGCATGGGAATGTTTAAAAAGTTCCTGGATAGCAAACCAACTGGAAAAGGTCACTGACCACATATCCAACCCCATTCCTGTGCTGTGACCCTCCAGCCACCCTCCGATAACTGGTTTTGATCATTCTTGCTCACCTGTTTGTCTTTATATAAACGCAATCCAGTACGAATGCACATTTTCCATACTTGTGTTTGTTCTTGTTATAAGTGATCAGGTTCCACATTTTTGCTGTTTGACTCTCGACAACTCCTGCCTCAGCCTCTTTCCCCCTGGTCCTTCTTATCTGTCAGGCTGATGAGA